ATATAATGAAACTAGTTCATAGTTTTTCTCTTTTTACTTGTAATATAGGTATTTCTAAAATAAATATATTTTTTGATTGTTCTTCGTATTTTCTGCCTTTTTTTAGTGCCTTATTTTGCTTTTTTTGCAATACCTTTTTTTTTGCCTTTTCCTGCCTTTTTCGCTATTTTGTTTTGCCTTTTTTTGCCTTTTTTGCAATACCTAGTGCCTTTTCCTGCCTTTTTCGCTATTTTATTTTGCCTTTTCCAGCCTATTTCGTTACTTTATTTTGCCTTTTTTATAGGTTTTTAGGTCCTAAAAATCCGTTCCCTGCATATGAAGGGTTTGTTTTTGTTTTTTAATAAAACCCATTATTACAGTTGAAAATATTTCAAAATTCCGGATAAAAATAATTCACGCAGATAACTTTTCACAATGTATGCAAAGTTTTTTGTTCCAATTCCTGTTTACTAATTTTTTATGAAAAACATGGCTCGTATTAAAATAAAAATATAAAAAGTAAATGTCTAAATTTTATGCAGAACTCAGACAAATTCAATTATTTTTCAACTTTTGAAATAGATCTTCTAGAAAAATTTTGAGTATGCAGTTTTGTAGCCCATTAAATTTTAGTACAATAAAGGTTCCAAGTTGCTAAAAAATTTCGTTAATTTTGGCAATTTTTTGCTAACAGTGTCTTCCATATAAAAAATCGCGAACATGCTTTATATGGAGGACCTGTCAGAAAAAAAAATTGCCAAAAATGGCGTTAAAAATTGGAAATTTATAAAATTTTCCTGATTTTTGAACAATGTTTTGACATTTTATCTTTATGTTTTTGCCGTAATATGAACTACGTTTTTAATTAAAATTAGCGAAAAAAATTAGTTAAAAAACTTTGCACGCATTGTGAAAGGTTATACTAATACTTTTGGCCGTATGAAAATTAATTAATTTTAAATTAAGAAATCCATTTTGCTAATTGCGCGGGTTCTTCGCCGTGTGTACTTGCAATGATCTTGTTTGTTTTCGTTTTTCCAACCCGTCTTTAGCATGCCCAAAATGCTTTTGTAGCACAACGTTTATTTCTTGGCCTTTGGATTCAAGATGGGAAATATATAAACAGAAAAATATTATTATTGGGTCATACTACTAATACTTCTATTGCAATTTTCTTACACAACGCACTTCACACCACGACTCGACTGTTATTGTGTAAATTTGACAAAAAAAAATTATGAAAAATTATGTCATTACATTTTGTTTTTATATTTTCAATAAATCACTTCTCAAGCGTAAGAGTGAGTCATTTTCGAGTCTTTTTTTAGTCGCGGAAGCGATTAATCAGTTTTTTATCATCAAAGGTGATCGAAGAATACTCAGTAAGGTGATTTTTATTAAAGTAATCTTCCAAATGCTATGTGTAAAATGAAAAGCAGTGGATGTTTATCAGAACTTTTTTCTATTTAATGTATAACCCAATGGTTGAAGATGATAGAGGACACCATATTCGAAATGGCCTCCATTTGTCTTCCAGCAGCCGTGGCGGCCACGTTCAACTCTCGGAATGACCTTGAACGCAGGACGGGATGATATAAAGATTATTGAACAGTGAAAATTTTATTTTTAGTAAAGTGACTGTGTTTGACCTATGTATATGCTACGCTTGCTCATTTTCTCCATATAAAAATTTTTCGAAGATAGGAAAAATGCGTAGCACCGTCGCAAAAAAAAAATTACAAGTTCCCGGTATGTCTCCACGAATTCAATTCTCTACATCTTTAATAGCCTTTGGCGTTCGCACCCGGTCGACTATTCCACCAATCTTCTCAAATAACTTCACGCTACGATACACAAAATTTCGATTGATTTCCAGTGACTGCAGCATCCGTAATATTTCGACGTTTTCGTAGCTGCATTTTGCAAGCCTTTTACCACAACCCGGTTTTTCGAGCGAACCGAAGGCAAATCGGATGCGCCTTGAGCTAACACCATTCTATAATAAACACGCAAATTATTTAGTATGTTTATATGTCCGCAGTTGCGTCCTATACCGCATGACGAATCTTAACCAAATTTGGCACACCTACCGCGGGCTTTCCAGCGATGGTCATAGGCTTAAAAATAGTTGCGATGTACATATCAAATTGACATTTTTATACTGCATGCATATCTCTGAAAGTTTTTGGGGTACATACTAGAGTAGGTACTGAAACTCTGTATGGAGATATGTGAAATCAAATATGTGTAATATTTTAACATCAAAACTTATCGAGACAAATTCTATGGGGCTAGGAAAACTATTTTCTACTTTTTAGTACATTTGTAGAAACATGGTATATTAAAAAGTTTTTTTATTTGATTTTTTTTATATTTACTGGCGCTCATAAAAAAAAATAACCTTAGCACAGGCTTTTATTGAGTTACTTTTTATCATTTATCTTAAATTGTACATAGTGCGTGAGCGACTGTTGGATAAGCAATTAATTTGCTTTTTGATCTAACAAAAATAAATCTCTCTCACATGACTAGCTCTTCACTTGAACAGATAAGATTAAACTCATTCGACAACTTGTAAATTTTATGAGACTCGCCAAAAATAAAAACAAAGAACAGCTTTCGGGCTTAGTATTCTCCAAAATCAACAGACTTATGACTAAGAAAATAAATAAAGCACATATGTAGGTACATACCTCATATGAGGAGCCAACGTTTAATGTCGAGAAAACAGGCAAATACACTTTAGACACAACAAACGCCATCAAAATAATCGGCACAATAATTAACCAGTATTGTGTGCCATAGCTGTAGATTTCCGATGGTACGCCCAGCATAGTGACACCAGAAATGTAGCTGTTTTTTTTTTTTTATATGAAAAATTAAATAAAAATTTTAATTAAAAAAACATAAATATTGCGAGTACTTTAAAATAATTAACATACTAACCTGGCAACAAGACTCATTGCCACTGGAAATACTTTCAGCCTCCGCGATCCCAACAAATATTCGCTCATTGCTTTGGACCCAAAGTCGGGTTCTTTTTTATGAGTGTTCAACTCCAAATTGCTGATTGGCTGAACTGGTTTGATTTTCTTTCTAAAACAAGTAAATTTTGTTAGATAGTTATATATACATATGTGAATATTTAAAATTTGTGATACTCTATTTATGTACCTTATGTAGCCGAAATAGATACCCGTTCCCGTGGAGAATAGCAGCATAGCCGCAAAGACACAGTAATCGGCAATTGAAAAATGAAATTGTGAATATTCTGCATATTTTAGCGACTGCAAAGAAATAAATAGTGTCAATACACTTATTTGGAAAGTTTTTTTTTTTTAATCTAACACAATAGGCATGATCCTGTACCCACTACGAGATAACGATTTTTTACCATATTTCACTTGAAATCGATCCCGTACACGCTTACTTTTGCTATTTAATAATTTTACTAACTTTAGTCCGAGAAGTAAGGGATCAAGCCTAATATGTATATTGGTTGCAACATTGATATGTTATGAGATCAACTTTCAGGAATTTTTTCCAATAAATTTTCTGTGTCAAATACCATTCATCATTAAGCATATAGTTTGGAGTTTAGGATTCCCAGATAATGGTTAACTATGACATAAAATTAAAATATTTAATTTATTTAGTTCATAAGGAATACCTTCATAGCCACAAGCATCGATATGGGAAGGTATCGATACTTAAGATCGGATATATTTCAGGTATCGATACTTTCTTTCGATACTTCTTCCAAATAAAGTATCGATACCTGCATGGTATCGTTTCATCCCTAATTATAGTCTTTTTTAATGTTTAAGTATAATAATTGATTTTATTCATATTAACCGTTCAAATTTTTACATATTAACTACGACAACTTAATAGGGTTGAAGCCCGTTCAAATGGTCCGCCCGACGCGCTCGATTGTAAGTACGCGATAGAGCTGCAAAACTATCGATTGTACTATCAATAGTATCGGCAGTTTTATTTTTGGAAAAACATCGATTGTTTTCGGGCGATAGTCGATAGTTTCGATAGTGCCGGTGCATTGAAATTTTATAATCTTTTCTTAAATAAGTGACGCTGTGAATTTAACTAAGGAAAATATTTAGAATTTCACGTTTAAGATGTAATATTTATACTTACATATGTGCAATATTTACATTTATATATGTACATATGTATATATTATACACATTTTGTTCGGAGTTGAAGTTTCCGTACATATACAACACGATCGTATACGATAATATCGAAAATACCGATAGTATTTTTCAAACTATCGAAACTATCGAATGGCGTCACTATCGAAATGTCTTTTTTCGTCTCGCGGGACGATAATTTTCAGAAGGAAATTATTTACGTCTCATAATATACTTCTGCCTTCAAATAAACGTCCCGCGAGACGAAAAAAACAAAAGTCCCAGGTAATTATTAGGAGAAGAAAAGTTTTTAATCCAACGATTTCCGCCAAAAGAGACGAAAACAACTTGTCCATTGTTCGGTAGTAATTATATAGCAATATTTAATTTTATTTCTTATATAGAATCGTTATGGTCTCTGGTTTATGCGTAAGCTAATTGCAAAAAAAAAAATAATAATTTGGAAATGCCTAACTCACTCTTTATAAAACGTGAAAAATCAGTATTCAATGTTGCGTGATTATTAAAAGGTGTTTAGCTGAGGGAGAGCGGGAGACCAGGTTTAAAGGCGACCATATATTAATTGGGGGACTCCATTGGAGGAGTCGTGCTCTAGCTGCCGTAGGCTGCTGTGCAATGAGCTGGGATTTATTTGGGGGGACTCCATTGGAGGAGTCATGCTCTAGCTGCCGTAGGCTGCTGTGGAAATGAGCTGGGGCGACTCCACTGGAGGAGTCATGCTCTAGCTGCCGTAGGCTGCTGTGCAATGAGCAGGGATTTATTTGAGGATGCATTCATGCAGAGCCCCAGTGTGGCTTGTAAGCCGGAGCTTACTACCATACCAAAAAGTACTCCGGGAGTGGAGTGGGAGCGATGCTCAAAGCACCGCGTGATAGCCAAGCTAGTTAAGCGTTGACCATCATGATGAGCCAAGCTGGTTTAGCGTTGACCATCGTGATGAGCCAAGCTGGTTTAGCGTTGACCATGCTGAAAATGCCAGCGACTTATCACTTCACTAAGTTCAGCGAAGAGATATTTGAGAATTGCATAAAAAATGCATACCCAATTAAGAACGAGCGAAATACTTTTAAACACAAGTGCGGGTGTGTGTTCGCTGCACTTGGTTTATGCGGGAATGCAATATAAATGCGTGTGGGTGTTCGCTGTTCTTTGTTTATGCGGGAAATGCATAAGTCGCTTAAACAAAAGGCAATGCTATGATCATCGAAAAAGAAAATAAACTTTCTTCCATTCGAAATAAATTTCGCTCATACTTTGTATGAGCTGTCAGTATTTACTGCATTATTAATATTTATGGAGCTAACGAAATTTGTCAAGTTATCGTAATGCGTCGAGTTCTTTTAACTTATCGAATTATCGATATTTATATATGCTTATCGAATTTTATCGTGCTACCAGAGAAATTTTTCGATATATCGAGATGTATGCATTTTGGAGTCATCCAAATTAATCAAGCCCTAGAAATGTACAGTCATCGACATTAGTCGAAATATCGAACTTTGTTGAGTTAAGGTATTTTAGTGGTTTTGAAATTCATTATCGATATGTGTCAAATTATCGAAATTTATCGACCAACTGGAATGTATCGGGTATATTCCATGTCCTGCCAAAAATTTAAATCACGTTTTGGTTCCAAAGCAAGAGATTTTCTGGTTATTATAAGTTAAACGACGTAAGTTAGAAAACCTCTCCAAGGTTCCTAAAAACTAGAAGAACGGTCGAATTTCGATAGTAACTGGCACTCTTAGTAATAAAAACTCCGTATATATTTCACAAAGTGGTCAAACTTTCCTGTAAGTCAATGGGGAATTTAATATATTTTAATGGCATTTAATGTAGTTTTGTGCCACGATGTCAATTATGACTACAATACTTTAAAACCTCTCAAGTTAAAAAAAAAAGGTTTTTCATTTTAAAACAGCTTTACTTCCTCGAATCGGTATTAAAATAATAAATATTTATACAAATCGAATTATGTATGGCCAGCGTTTTTGTAAAACTCTGATCAACTTTAACAACTCTATGGTATACTACTTTATCTTAATTTGCCCCACATCTGTTTTGCCCATACACACTTGTTGCTGTACAATACCGAGTTGTTATTCTAAACACCAGTTAGCCGTTGTTTAATTATAATAGCCATCGTAAAATAATCATAAAACTCATTTTGATTGAAAAACACGCCATGCGCTAATAGTAATTTGTAATTTAGGGCACAAAAATATTTTACATACATTACATACATACATATGTATGCAGTGGCGAAAAAAAATTGTAGAAACAAAATTGTTGACACATTGTGGATATATTCCTTTTGTTTATTTGATGTTTAATATTTTTAACAAAGGTCTAATCCCCGGTTTCACCAATCAATTTTAAAACTTATCAGACAGTTAAAATTTAAAATGACAAATTTTCGGTACAAAATAATGTAATTTTAAATTTTAACAGGCTAATAAATTTAAAACTGATTAGAGCAACCGGGCATAAATCATTAAATAAAAAACAGCATACAAATCAACATTTCAAACTTTGTACAGAATTCACAAAAAGTTTTAAAATTTTGTTTAGCTTTTTAAATGGAGCTTTAGAAAAATTCTGGGTATGCAGATAATGCAGCCTTATAATGAGTTTCATTTTCCCCGAACCGGTTCACTTTTTCCTTTTGGTTTCCATGGTTTTACTATGGGCGGATGACAAATCTTTGGGTGAATTTTTTTTTTTCCGGCGAAACTCAGAATAAGTCAGATTTAAACCACTTGAAACTTGCACATTACTGTATTAAAATTGAATGGACTATGAAACTGCATTCACAGAATTTTTCTAAAGACACTCATAGAAAAGTTCAAAGATTTGATAACAAATTGTTAAAATTAGAAATTTTTTGTGAATTCTTTACAAACTTTAAAATGCTGATTAACATGCTGTTTTTAACCGAGTTCACAAAAAGGAGAGGTTACCAATTCGTCGGAATATATATTTTTATGTTTGTTACCGCATAACTTTGCACCACGTTAACCGATTTCTATGTTTTAAAGGAAAGGTGTTACCTCACAGGTGGTCCCGCACTAATTTGGTTTAAATCCGCTCATTGGCTCATGAAGAAATTAACGATAATTTTAAATTAAATTTTTATATGAGAATTGAAGTCAGTTTTTTTTTTGCTTAAATATTACTTGTTATGTAATGAGTTAGACTTTTATAAAAAAAAAACAGTAATGATACAAATCAAAAAAATATGTTTGATCCTTATTTACTTATCGATTTCCTATACGATTGTGTAATATAAATAAGGAAAAATATTAGATTTCATAAGCAAAATCTCGAAATGTACCTAAAATAGTTTATTCTAAACACCTTTGTCAGTTTAAAAATTTGTATATATGTATTTTTGCATCCTAGTGTAAGTATGTTCCCAGTGGATAAATTCAGGAGCTAAGAGCCCTTCCTGAAAAAGAAGAGGCCTTCTACTTTGCATTCCTTTCTCCTTTCTTTTTAGTATGGCGTGGAACAAATTGAAGGGCTTCTGTTTTCGTTGCCTATAGTAGGGCTTCCAGAAGGGCTTTTGTAGGACGACCTTCGGAAAGTTGCTTTTTAATATATAAAAATTAGAATGGCTTCACTTAAGAAGGCCTACCTGCATATAACATGTGATCGATAAAGCAGTCCTTGTATTTAACCGGAGCTTCTACTTCCGATTTGTGTTAAACAGCCGTTAACAACCGGCCCTATGGGCCAGTTCCTCAATCGATTCCCTTTTATATATTATAGAGTCGATCACGTCGATAACGATGTTTAACCTGCAGTTAGTGTTAACCACAAATTGAGAAACTGGCCCTAAGAGAATGTTCAATTTAACATTTTCTAATTGTCATCGCGTGTCACTTTATGGACTTTGAAGTAGTCATCGCGATGGACGCATCATCAATTTAATTCTCTATTGATCATTAATTGAAGATCACGTAAACAAAAATATTCGGGTTTAAATAAATATTTATATTTGCAAACAAGTGCTAGATATGTGCATATGTATATTAGACTCCATCACCAAAAAAAGTTGCGGTTTTTCCGCCGGGATTACAAAATTTATTATATTTTAAGACGTCCACCAAAAT